TATGACGAAATATTAATGTTGTTCCTACGTTCGGCTAAGAATCGTGCTATGAAGACGTATGGGGAAGTGGAGGTATATCTCAGCGCATTAACTTCGGAAATATATGGAGGCGTGTGTTTAGATTTGGACACCAGCAGCTTTATTACTCTGGAAAAGGGCCCCTGGTATCCACAGGTTAGAAAGCTTGGGCCCCAGTGTCGGTCAGGACGCAGTGGGAAGGGAAAACTTCTTCCTCAGCCCGGAATCGAACCCCGATAGGCCCACCTCAAGTCCGCAGTCTGGTCAATATACTAAAAAGCGCAAAGAGCAATGGAAATGCTGTGTTAATATAGAAGGCCCTACATCCGAAGATTATAAATATATTGCAAATCTCTGAGATGAAAACACTGTTACTGCTGACAAGTTTCTGCTGGAAAGTTTAGTCTGCACTTTAAGCCCATCTTCCCCTGAACAAATTTATGAGTCGCCTTGGGATCAACTGCAGACAGGGGAGCAATGGGACAACGACGCTGACCCCGGCGATGTTAGTTGCGTCTGTAAAAGGAAAGGTGACAGTGCTGAAGTAGCAAATTTGTTGCTTGAAATAGTAGCAATATAGCGCAATATATCACAAGACGCAGGCTTGTAAAACCCAGAATGTCTCTCGGCATCCCTATTGCTGTGCATCTCAGAATATCTAACGAGGATCTGTAGGAATATCCTTTGGGATGTGGTGCCGTTTAGTTCACTGACGTTTCGTTAGAACACGTTATATTTATCTTCAGGCTTCTTTCTGGGTTGCTTACTCCACGACGTTGAAGATAGAGGTGCTACGTTTCACTGGAAAATTGGTTTGCACGAGTTACATCCTAGAAAACAGTACTGTTCATGTCAACAGCTCTCGGTACCACGAACCCAGAAACCTATAAGATGATTAACAAGAAATTCTGGGAAGAACTATTGTAATTTCTTTGGATATGACACGGGCCGTAAAGAAAATGAAGAGAATTAGGGGATATACAAATACAGACAATCACACAGTCTCATAATCATCCATTTATTCTTTTTAAAAAATCAGGAAAATAGGCTCAGAAACTTCGTGAGATTGTTCATGTGTCCGAAGTGAATTGGAATATGGATGTGAAAATGGAAAAGTAAAACCCTCGTTATCGGTACTTAAGCCGGTGAATCTGATTTTAATGGTACAATATGAAGCCTGATCAGTTGTTTTGAATTCCTTGCTCTTACAGAAACTGAGGGACTATAATAATCCTGCTATGACAGAGAACACCGTTACTCCAACATGAGCTAGATCAATCCAATCTGTATCTTAACGCACTAAACCTGATTAAGATAGACAACATTTTTATATTATCCTCACATCTACTCACAGATCACTCAAGTGTTTTCTTCCCTTACCGTTTCGGTCAAGCAGGTTTTTTTCCTTCCCCGTGCGTGCTATATACACCGCCCACCTTCTTGATTTCACACGGTAATAATATCAGATGAAGAATACAATTATGAGTTGCTCCTTTGTTCATTTAACGAAGATTTCTCAACTGTATATGTTATGAAACGTCGAGTATAGGATGCTTGTGCCTAATTATAAACAAGTGACCACCGCTCATTTTAAGATATGTTACTATTATAGCATTTACGTAAGGGAACTGAAGAAATACACGAAATTTTTCAAGTAAAATATGGATTTCCAGTCGCAGGTCTGAGGCCTACTATTTAGTCCCGCTTTGTGAAGAAGATGAAAGGTAAAGTTGTCCCTGTGCTTAATTAATTAAACACTGTGCCATGAAGACATATGGGGGAGTGGAGGTATAGTTTTACAATTCTTGACTTCGGCACAAGGGAATCGCCTCAGGTACACATTTATTAGGAGACTGAGTGGGCCCCAGAGCCGGCCTAAAACCTATGGAGAAAAGTAAAATCTTTCCCCTGCAGAGAACCAAACCCCGGCCATCCAACCCGTAACCCATCGATCACTATACCGACTGAGCTATCCCTACTCCTTCTAAAATAAAGAGGAAAGCGTTAGTAGGTATTTTGGTGGATTTGAGGGATACTGTCGCTGGCCACACAGAATCAATTGGTTGAGCTGCCTTGCAGTACAATATCCGATTCGCAAGATGTGGAGGCAGGGAGTTGTATCGATGTAGAAACATGCAATGCCGATCAATACAGCAAGCTGGGGCTATGTAAACCTAAGTAAGGTATGCGGAAGAGCAATGACCGCTGAGACGCTCCTTGGCCTCGCGTCTCATTACGACCGATGCTTAAATTATATATATATTAAGATTCATAAAGAGAAAGAAACAGCGCAGACCCGGCAATTGTTTCCGAGACATGAAGACGTAACAATGCTTTTCGTAAAGGTAAAAATAAAATTGCCTCATTGTCTACACAAGAAATGCCAACGTGAAATATTATGAATTCTATATCTCGGCATTAGATGAGGCTGAGCGGCCGATTTCACGTTCCGGCCGCTCTAAAGTGGGTAAGGAGTCACAGATATTAATGATATAGGAGGGTGTGCCGATCTCATGTCCGGTATGCACATTGTGGCAAAGAGCAAAATTCCTGCCCCTGATGGGAACTTAATCCCCATTCCATAGGCACTTTATTGAGTCAGGAGAGTATTATTATTATTATTATTATTATTATTATTATTATTACTTTACTGAAATTGGGTATTCACCCAGTGGCAGTAGATCTTATACTGATACAGACAAGGAAAGACTATAACATAGAGGGAACAATACAAAACAAAGTACGTACATTGAGCAAGGTAGTACATATATATAGTGCAAATCCAAACATATATAAAGCCATAAAAGGGCACGTACTTGTCACTGTTTTAAATCATTCAACAATGTTAGAGATTAATTTTAGCTGTTATTTCTTGCCGAATGGTATAAGAAATTTACCTTGTTCGGTCAGTTTAAAATAATTGAAAAGGAAGAGATGAAGGCAATTTTTTGTTTATTTGGTGGGGTGAGGGTCCACTCTGTACGTCAGCCACTAATTGACCTATTGTACAAGCCCCGGATGATAGATGATGAATGTGGAGCAGTCGGTGGAATGAGAATTGGCAGGGGAGACCGAAGTACTCGTAGAAACCCTGCCCCAGTGCCATTTTGTCCACCACAAATCCCACATTCCCTGACCCGGGGTCGAACCCTGGCCTCCGCATGGGGAAGCCGGCGAGTAACCTCTTGTGCTATGGCACGGCCCTAAGGAAGAAAGTAAATTTATCTTTATGCTTAAATAAGCTACACACGATGAAGGTGTATGTGGGAATGTAGGTACATATCCTCTTGTTTTAACCTTCGCAGTGAATAGAGATGATCTGCTTCAAGTTCCGGACTTTATACCCGAAAGATAAAGCACCAAAGGTACCCAAACATAGGTGTGTAGACGTCAGAACCAGACTTGGTTCTGTGGAGAAGAGAGAAATATCTCCCATTGCCAGGAATTGAACCCCTGTAATTCAAACTTTCACGAGAAGTGAGAAGGATGGATGAAGGAGCTGAGTTCAATTCCGTGCTGGCACAAATTCTGTGGCTCGTTCGGCCTGCGATACAGTTTAATTGATACTCCGTTTGGAACATCTGGTTGTGAATGGCTTTGCGTCCTATACAATGCTAGTCCGTATTAATTTCGCGCAGGTAGAGCGAACGGACTGGACGACTGGGGGACTGCAGATCGATTCCCGCCAGAGGCAGAGAGTTTTCTCAGCTGTATAAAGACCAGACTGGCTCCGGGTCAATGCAACCTCATGTCTAATGACTATAGGTTGCCTTTCTAAGGGGACTAGGAGTTGGGGCTTAGGACTCCACTCCATCTTGTGCCGAGGTTAAAAATGCGCTATGCTTCCCCCTCACCACACTTCATGGCGCAGTGCTTAATCTAACATAGAGACAATCGCTGCAACGAACGACGTGTAAAATATCTAGTCCAGGCCGGATGTATATCCGTCCATTCTCCTACCCAGTGTTTAGCCGTGTTCTTTCACCCAAGGAAAAAATGTTTAAATATGGAACGCGACGTCCACACCGGCTTCTTATTCAACCAGCTTCTTATCGAAAGGTTCCAGGAGTATAGAGGTCGTAGTGTGAACCTAACCACTTCCGTCCAGGGCTGTACCATAGCTCAGTCAGTCGCCGGCCTTCCCACCGCGACGGCCTGAATTGAGCCCACGCCAGGTCATGTGGGGTTTGTGGTGGACAAAGTGGCACTGGGGCAGGATTTCTCCGAGTATTGCGGTTTCTCCTGCCAATTCTCATTTCACCGACTGCTCCACACTCATCATCTATCATCCGGGGTTGGTACAATAGGCCAGTTAGCGGCCGCTATACCAAGTGGATTCAGTCACACCCCACCCCAAGAAACTAAAAAAAAAATACTACTTCCGTCCAGTACTGACGTTCAGAATGCAGGGAAGTTTACCTCCACTGCCTCTATTCACCTCTGTATGCAATTTCTGTCTTTGATTTTATTGTAAAGGGTAAAAAAATAAAGCTATCCCTATAACAGACCATGGAGTCCAGTAGGGCTGTGAGACGTCGAGGTTCCCACTTTTTCTAGACAATCGGCTAACAGATGGCGGTGAAGTTGTAAGCCTTACGCGCCGGCCTCTCTTAACCCCCAAGAAGATTTATGTTCTCATTTCTGCTAGAGGGTGAGTCGACCCCAGGGCCATAGTGCGGCTGGAAGGATTAGGTCAACTGAAAAATCCAATGACTTCCTCGAGAATGAAACCCGCGATCTTTCGTCTTGTAACATAGTGCTTGTACCAACTTTGTTGTACTCATGATAAATGATTATTGTAATGTTCGGGAAATCTGCAGCAGCAGAGCGTAAATACACAGATACGCGACATATGTGAAGTCCAATAGTATTCTTATGTACGTAAATACTTGTATTAAACGAAAAACTCTTCAGTTAATTTATAAACAAGTTTCATTATATTCGGTCTATCCAACATTCATACATATAAGATTTAATTTTACCTGGTATGCGTCTTTGATGTTAATAATTTCTTTGCTCTGCGCCACGACGCCAGCAATTCCTACGCCAAATGGTAAGCGAATTTCTTCGGTACGAGCTTTCCTTACTGCATCTTCCAGCTCTGCAACATAGCAAGGATCACAGCAGTCAGTACCAGAAACTTAACTTACTCCTAACTCTGGGTCCTCCAGCTTTGTCTGTATTAGTAACTGATCGTGAAAATTAAGCATTCACATTTCCACATCATTGTTATTTCCAGTCCAGAGGTGAAAATAAAGTAACACGTTCCACAGCGCAGCCATCTTGAAGTGCTGTTGGCTTCTTAGCGGCGAGCTCTAATTTATTTAAACGTTTAAAACCTACTGGTTACTATATGTATTTTTTTTTCCTTGGCACTACAGCCCCAGTGGGCCTAGGTCTACCCCCATGAACTTCTGCCTTCACTTCGGTTTCTCTAGATCTTACACATTCGGTAGGGCTCCTTGGGCGGGTGATCAGCTCGTCGCAAGGCCTCTACCTGTACACAAACACAGAAAAACGCACACAAACATCCATGCCCTGAGTGGGATTCGAACCCACGATCCCGGTTTCCAAGAGAGCGAAGACAGTACATGCCTTAGACCGCCCGACTACCGTGACCGGAGGTCACTATATTTACCACCTGCTTTAATATACCAAAACTCTGCATTGTGCCCACAGAGTGTATCTGTGTGTTCCGTATGGTTCTGACAATAATCAGAGGTTATTCCCCTAAACAGCATAAACCGGTTGTCTTTATAGCAGGCACTTAATATTTTCTGTGAGGTACGGACTGAATTTGTATATACCGTTTAGAAGAAATCCGGCTGTTTCTAACATTATATTGCGTCGAACGATGAGTTGATAAGTGAACAACAAATTATAAATTATGTGGAATGAAGCGATCTTTGCCCAATTGGAGGTACTATTCCGTCATTATTTTTGGAAACACGGGCAGAAAACACAATAAACCTCAGTCAGTATGTCCAGATATATTTGGTCATGGGATATCCAAAATACGTGGCAGAATTGTACCTATTCGACTGCGAATTTATATAAACTGTAATTAAAAATATGGCGCGTTATTAATGGAAAAATAATTTTGTGAATATTAAAGTACCTTTGACATTTTATTTTATGAGCAGTGATGTAGGATGGCCGGTCACGGTTGCCGAGCGGTCTAAGGCATACACTGTTTTCGCTCGCTCGGAAGTCAGGATCGTGGGTTCGAATCCCACTCAGGGTATGGATGTTTAGTGTTTGTGTGTGTGTGTATGCGCCGCGTTTTCCTGTGTTCCTGTGGTCATCCGCCCAAGAAGTCCTACCGAATGTCTAAGATCTAGTAAACCGAAGTGAAACGGAGAGATTCATGGAGGTAGGCCAAGGCACAAATTGGGGCTGTAGCGCCAAATGAAGAAAATGTGGTTTGATAGGTATTTGGCCTTTAAGAGCTGTCTAGCTAGTTAACTCATAGACGAATTTCTGTCACATTACATTCCGAGAAAAATGTTAAGTAATGGAAAGTTTATACTGAACAGACGTGCATCCAAAAGGGGGCTCCCATTTATAAGTCAGATATATTTATCGATATTAGAACTCGATATTGTAAATTTTTTATGCTCGATTGTGTAGACACGTTATTGCTACAGCAGCAGATGTTCATGCGTGAAATTTATCACCCAATAGAATTTGAGCTCTCGCATTTTACACATTGTCGATCACATCACTGATTGAATGAATACTTGGGCGCAAGAGACATCTGAATCTTGCGGCTGCAATCGTCTGCTGATATTTCCAGGTTCTGTCAATCCATTTCTAAGGCTCAGAAGGGAAGAGATAAATCTCCGCAGCTTCTCGCGTCAGTCCGTCTGTCAAGAAAATCATTTATACTGTAACGTGGATAGCCAGAGCGTTGCTAGGTAACTGACCATTAAACACCTCGCGACGGAACATACGCAAGGCGACAATAGAAGTACGGCGTTTTCTATGAGGTCGCGCTGCTATGCAACCTCGTAGTAAAGTCCTTTACAACAAGATAGGCTGTTTTCTCTATGATCGGTGCGGAGGCTATATAACGACAGTTACAGACAGAACAGATAAAAAACCCCGTGTAGAGGCGGGGCCGAATACCTCCACCGTGACTCTGCGAGTCGTAGGAGGCGACGAAAAGGAAGTCTCAATTCTGAGACAGTAAAATATGGTCGCGAGTCCCAAGGGACTCGGATCAGAGAAAGACTGCGCTGGCAAGAGCCAGCAGCATATAAAAAAGACAGACCCGTCCTCTCGTCAGAGAAGGCGCCCCAAAGAAACAAGACCGTAATTGTCGAACGGTAATAATTAATATCTGGTCATGAGCCCCAAATGGGGCTCGACACCAAGACTTACTGACTGACTGACCGTCAGTCGCAATGTGACTTTGACTTTTACTTTGAACAGATAAAAAAATTGTAGCATAAGATCTGTAAGTTAGGCATGATCTGCTCTGTAAAGCCTGTACTGACAGAGGACTTATTATAGTGCAGAAGGAAGAGTTTTCGATAACATATTTTATGTGAGAAATAGACACTTGAAAGGTTTAGTGTATTCATAAGAGACAAACCCACCTTCTCGTCCGAGAGGATGTTACATAAGGACTATTACCGCAAGAGTTCAGTTGGAAAGAAAATCTCTGGTCGTGGGCCTCAAGGGGCCTGACGCCAAGACGAACTGATTGGCGGTAAACCGCCAGTCGTAAAGTAATTTTGACTCTGACTCTGACTCTGAACAGATAAAAAAAATGTATGGAGGCGGGGCCGAATACCTCCACCGTGAACCTGCGAGTCGTAGGAGGCGACGAAAGGGAAGTCTCATATCTGAGAGAGTGAAATGTGGTCGCGAGTCCTAAGAGACTCGGACCCGAGGAACACTGCGCTGGTAAGGGCCAGCAGCATATACAAAAGACAGACCAGCCCTCTCGTCAGAGAGGGCGCCCCACAAAAACAAGATCGTAACAGTAAAACAGTAATAAATATCTGGTCATGAGCCCCACCAGGGGGCTCGAAACCAAGACTTGCTGACTGACTGACCGTCAGTCGCAATATGACTGTGACTTTAACAGATTTCAGCTTTTAAGAGCCAGTGAGAGAGTGCAGTTGAGTTCCAGAGTAAGAAATGGCAAGAGGACTTCATAGTGACCTGAAGTGCTAGTTTCTATGTTGAGATCCGTTGCCAGGAGACGATAGTGAAGACGGAAAATCCTTGTGCGTGTGCAACGGTGAAATGTAAATTGTGTAAATCAACGATAGCGCTGTATTTCCAGTATTTAAGTGTGATTAAGAGAACTTGTAACCAAAATGTTAATAAATCCAATCATCCAAACTAGAACCCGTCATTTTCGTCCCTTGTATCCCCCCCCCCACACGTGACAATATACATCAATATTCTTCTTCTTTATTTCATCGTCATCATTATTTTCTTCCCCTATTCTGCAAGTTGGTTGAAGCGGTAGCATGTCTGAACTCTATGTGGGAGAGGTTCGGTTTGAATCTCGGGCGGGACACGGAATGTCGTGACTAAGACTTTCGTGACTTTCCTCAGTCTCTCGTTCATTATGAATCTAATACAACATACCACATAAGCCAGAACCGGTCACTACACACGCACTCTATAGAAAGAGACAAGTGATATTTTCTGAATATCGGGAGGATTAACATATTGTAGCGTGTAGAACCGTTGCTATGCAACAACCATCAGATGGAAGGATATACCAGACCAGTTTCAGGGCAACGGCTCGGTAAAAACTTTCCCGCGGCAATGGATATTCATGCAGCAGAGGAAACAGGGTGTTTCTGCGTGATTCATGTTGAGATGGACAAGGTTAGAGCTTAGTCAGTTGAGTATGTAGTTTTGCACGAAAGTCTGTGAAGAAAGGACTTGAGCGTGTGAAGCTGAAATTATCCACTGTTAGAAGCCGTTGCCAGGAAACGACTAGTTCAAGTAGACAGAGAAAACATAGCGTGAGTTCTAATGATTTGTAAAGCGTGGTGATTAGTGATAGCATTATTATTATTTGTAGTTACGTGTTGTGTTTAAGTGGTCAATAAATCGAGTCATCAATCCAAACCACGTCTATAGTCACACTCTAATACGTGATAATACGAAGATTCTATGTACGGCTTCTATGACGAGTATATACCTATATTTAAAATAAGTTAAAAGTAATTTAGGAATCTTTTAAAATATTTTAACCCATTGACTGTTGCACGTTTTAACGCTGATGTACCGAATAACTTTCGCTTTCGCTGTAATAGTACTCATACATGTAATTAATTAATTCTAGAGAATAGAAATAACGAATAACGAAAGCACTTCTTCATGTGTTAAGAATCTTATTATGGTGGTCTCTATGTAATGAAATGAAATTGGTCGAACTCGATGGATGTGTTGCTCACCAGAAGGGCTTCTGTTGAAATAAGAACCCAAGTTAACAAAGGAATGAACAGAAGAAAGGATGGAATGAATAGAGAAAGTAAAGGAGAAATAACAAGAATGGAAGGAGAAAGGAATAGAAAGGAAAAGAGGGAGAGAAAGGAAGGGAAAGTAGCAACAATGAAAGAAGACAGGAATTGAAAGGAAACAAAAAGAGTGAGAGGGGAAAGGAGAAATGGCAAGAATGGAAGGAGAAAGGAGTGTAAAGGAAACAGAGAGAGAAATGAATGGGGAAATGGCAAGAATGGAAGAAGAAAAGAATAGAGAGGAAAAAAGAGAAAGGAAAGGGGAAATAGCAGGGATTGAAGGAGAAAGGAGTGGAAAGGAAACAGAGAGAGAAAGGAAAGGGGAACTGGCAAGAATGGAAGGAGGAAGGAGTGGAAAGGAAAAAGAGAGAGAAAGGAATGGGGAAATGGCAAGAATGGAAGGAGTGGAAAGAAAACAGAGAGAGAAAGGAAAGGGGAAATGGCAAGAATGGAAGAAGAAAAGAATAGAGAGGAAAAAAGAGAAAGGAAAGGGGAAACAGCAGGGATTGAAGGAGAAAGGAGTGGAAAGGAAAAAGAGAGAGAAAGGAAAGGGGAAATGTCAAGAACATAAGAAGAAAGTTATATAAAGGAAAAAATACAGAGAAAAGAAAGGGGAAATAGCAGCGAAAAAGAAGAAAGGAATGGAAAGGAAACAAAAAAGAAAGAGAAAATTAAAGAAGGAAAGTTAAGGAGGAAAAGAACAAAGAAAGAAGAAAAGAAGGAAACAGAAAGATTGAAAGGGCGAAGGAAAAAAAAGATATAAACAGAGAAAAAACAGGAAAAGAAAGAAAGGTGAATAAACTCTCCAAGTTCTACAAGGGACATTAGACTGAATTTGTTGTCTAATCTAACAAATTCTGCTGAAAGTGTAAACTGAGCTTGTGCGATGCTCCGATGTCCAGCTCTGTTAACAGTGTGTACGGTTCAGATAGCAGCAATCCATTGTGCACTAGTGGGAATCCACCGGGTGCACAAAATTACACGCACACTAATTTATGTAATGGCTAATACCTAAGGCTGCCGGTCACGGTAGCCGAGCTGTCTCAGGCATGCACTGTCTTCGCTGTGAAGCCGAAATCGTGTATTCGAACCCCACTCAGGCCATGGATTTTAAGTGTGTGTGTGCGTTTTTCTGTGTTTGAATACAGGTAGAAGCCTTGCGACGAGCTGATCACCCGCCCAAGGAAGCCTACCGACTGTCTAAGATCTAGTAAACCGAAGTGAAACGGAGAGAGTCATGGAAGTAGGCCAAGGCCCAAATTGGGGCTATAGCGCCAAAGGAAAAAAAACTCTAAGTCATACACCTGTTCTTTAATTTATGTCCTCGTTCTATTTTCTGTCACATTATTTCAGATAGCTGGCCTTTCACGTCCCCAGTATAGGCACCGGGTGGCGCAAAAATATTGAATGTTCGTAGTTCTGTGAGTCTAAATAAAACTTATGCCAGTATTGTGACATATAGGCCGTTTCTATAACAATAGAGGAAAGTCCATAAACATTCTAACGGCAACGAATACAGGCAACAGTAGAAGAACTGCCGTTTCTATGCGACGGAAGGTAAACACCCCCTTATGCACTTGACAAGAATATAGAGGAAACTATTTTCTATGTGGTCTGCGCCAAGCAAATGCGCTGAACAATAGAACATATTTTGCCATGTAACAAAGCTGTAAACACGCATTCTTAAAAAAATAAGACAGTGTCTCAGAGATATGTGATGGGGTTGTATGGATTGGATTTATCTGGCTCAGGATAGGGACCATTGGAAAAATTTTTTCGAACAAGGTAATGAACCTTCGGGTTTCTTAAAATTTTGGGAAGTTCTTGAGTTGCTGTACAATTCTCCGTTTCTCAAGAAGGTGTCAGATCCATAAAGTTAGTTAGTTTAACATTATTTATTCTGGTCCGTCACACTAGTTAAATATTATAACAACGAAAGGAGAAACAGCTTAACCACAACACAGATCCTTAACCAATCATAAGAACGCTGCCCGGACCTCAAAGGGTGTCAGATAACACAACAGTCTCCTGTTTTGACAGAAGAGGCACGGGGAGACAAACCTCAGCGGTCCAAGATTTTAAATATTAAAAACATTAATAATATATTATTAACTTAAACACCTATTATCATAATTAAAAATCTTTATACAAAACTTTAAGCGTATATACTATGATCTATGTAAGAGTAGTTCCTTAATATGTTGTTATTGCCTTCTGAAGATGGTTACAACCGACCGAAACATGTAAAGGCAATATATAAATATATACTGAGTCACACTGGATAGTGTTGTCAAATCATTTTTAATAGTTAGTTAGTTAGAGGAGGTTTTTAGAAAGTTTATCTTTTTTTTAAATGAGGGATGAATGGAACTGCTCATCTCCTGGGCAGCCATTTTGGCTCTCACCAAACCAGCATAAAAATTGGCATTGGGTTCTCACCTGTATCCACTGTGACGTCGAATAGTTTGGCCACGAGGTAGCGACCATCTCGAGGTCCTCTGGCTAGGAACAGACTGCCTCGGTCTGCGTGTGTCAGAAGCCCCACGTTCACAAGGATCTTGTGACAGAGGACATCTATGTCTAATTCGTTGGCCACATCCCTGATCAACTCCATAAACAGTTCACTCTCATCCATCAAGTCCAGCTGTTTCCGTCGCAGACTGCTAGCCACTGGCCTGCCACACACATGTGAAACATGGTAAAACAGAGTAACAAGGAACACACCACGCATGTAAACTACACCAGTAATAACAAGAACACATCACCAAAAGGGATAGACGACAATTCCACTATCAAGGAAGATAAAACACGATCCATATTGAAGAAAGCAGTCTTCTGGGATTTGGCACCGTGTATATGTGGTGTTAACCGACGGTTCGGAGGAACGTATCGCCTCCATCTTCAGGGTAGAAAAAAAATATATAAGAAATCTGCAAGCAAAGAGACCGTGAGAACCGGTAAAAGCAGTCTGCTTTCTTCATAGTCACCCTCCATGAAAGCCTCAAATCTTACACGATCCATATTGGTTCACGAACACATTTCTTAACTTAAAAATAAATTTTTACACACACATTTTTTTTTCCTTGGCACTACAGCCCCAGTGGGCCTAGGCCTACCTCCATGAACTTCTCCGTTCACTTCGGGTTTTCCTGTTCTTACATATTCGGTAGGACTCCTTGGGCGGGTGATCAGCTCGTCGCAAGGCCTCTACCTGTACACAAACACAGAAAAACGCACACAAACATCCATGCCCTGAGTGGGATTCGAGCCCACGATCCCGGCTTCCGAGCGAGCGAAGACAGTGCATGCCTTTACACACACACATTCATAACATAATTTTAACGTAAAGGAAGGCTGCTGTTGTGAAACAAATTGAATTTTGTATACAGTGCAGTGGAAAATTACATTTTTAAACTATCCTTTGTGAAAGTGATTGCAACTACGTCACTTCTAAGTAATATACTTCAAGAATGTTCTTATAATAAAAGTTTACATCAAACATCTATTTCGACAATGGAAAAATAAACAACTACATATAGTGAGCATCATGAATGTTTTAAGTGTATATAGTCTTGTATAAACATTTACGTATTGGTGGGTCCCTGGTCGTAGTGGTTATACCTCCGATGATGATTCATTAAGAATCGAAACAGGTTAGGTAAGTAAGTGCTGAAGCGGTGAGGGCATTATATGTCACATTGGACTGAAATAAACTTAGTTACTATAGGATTCTGACGATGGTGTATAACACTTAGAGATATTGGGTTTTCGGACTTAGCCATCGTCCTGGTATTAAGATAACTAAGAAAAACACGACGTTTCGGAAACTGGATCTGTTTCCGTCCTAAGATGAGGGAAAACACCTATTCTGTTGGGTCCCTTAGGAAGAGCTAGCCTCAATCACTGGTCGTCGTGTTTCTCTTAGTTACCTTAAAACCAGGACGATGGATAAAGTCCGAGAACCCAATATCTCTAAGTGAAATAAACTTAATTGTAAAATAAAAAGAGTAACTCCATGGAGCAGACAGTCTTGCTTGAGAAGCTCACAGTAGCTCAGATGGTCAATAGATAATTATGTGAATTGAACCATCAACACAGCATAAAGAAAGACATCTTCAAGGTGGAGAAAAAAAATAGATGTTGTGGTGTCTCTTACTCGTTTTATTCTACGCACATGTATGCTATGTGTTTCGATCTTTATTTATGTCATCATCAGGCAAATTCCATAACACGTAAACTAAGTTAGTTGAATTTACGTGTAGTTACCCCAATAAGGATACATAGTGGGGTCTGATAGGAAGTTGATTTCCTAGGCAACGGGTATCAACAGAGCGCGTTCCCGTAACAACAGGTTGCCATGGGATTATTATACATGCACTTCCGTGACAACACTTTACTAGGCATATTGGTAACTGTGGAACTGGAGGTGATTCCGTGATAACGCGTGCTTAGGCAGACAGTTACCGCAAATATGATATAGAGAATTCTTCAAAGAGGTGTTTCCTATCAAAGCCGCCGTAAGTTATAAAACTGAGAGCAATTTGGCCAGAATTCCGTGTGGAGGCGGGGTCGAATACCTCCACCGTAGCCCTGCGAGTCGTAGGAGGCGATGAAAAGGGGAGTCTCGAATATGAGACAGTAAAATATGGTCGCGAGTCCCAAGGGACTCGGAGGCGATGACCAGCAACAATAGTAAATGACAGACCCGTCCTCTCGTCAGAGAGAGCGCCCCACATCAACAAACACGCAACTGTCTGATAGTAATAAAAATATGTTCGTGAGCCCCAGATGGGTGCTTTATTCCAAGAGAGACTGGCCGATTGATCGCCAGTCGTAACATGGGACTCAGACAGAGACTCAGACTGAGCAGAGAACAAACGGGAGGCTAGTATGGAATTGGACTTGGCTTCATACATACTTCAATCACAGAGCATCCAATAGTTGGAGTGTTGAAGACGTTAGTTTATGCGTGTAATTTTAAGAGAATACCAATAAATCCATTCATTTGATCTAGAACTCGTTACTTTCGTAACGCGTAGCCTGCTACACGACAGCATTATGCAATTTTTGTAGTTGTAATTATTAGCGAATACACCTTAAAGAATGTAAGCAGTATATGCAAGTTAAGGCAAAGTAAGTTTGTTGCTATAGGTTAAAACTCATATACTAGGAATTAATATATTTTGCTTATTAATATGATACGTCTTCAAATAAAAAAAAGTAAAGCTATCCCTGTAACAGGACGTGAAGGCTCATAGGGTTGTGAGATGTTGAGGCTCCCACATTTTCTAGACAGTCGGCTGACAGATGGCGGTGAGGTTGTCAGCCTTACGCGCCGGCCGCCCTTTACCCCCAGGAATATTCCTGATACTCATTTCTGTTAGCGGCTGAGTCGACCCCAGGGCCATAATGCGGCTGGAAGGAGTAGGTCAATTGAAAAAATCCACCTCGTTGGGATTCGATCCCGCGACCTTCCGGGTTGTGGCCTAGTACCTTAACCAACTACGCTACCGCGTGCCCCCACGTCCTCAAATATGTATAAAATTTAATTTTCAGTTACCCTCGTCTTGTTAATGTTTATACTTTACGTATTATATCCCAGAATATATTCGTAGAACTCTTCATGTTATTTTTAAATTTACTAAGATACCCGTTTCTGTTTCTCAGTCACCTTCAGTGCGAGGTAGGCTGCACTTCTTACCACCATCCATCGTACGATTTGTAAGCTCATGCAATCATACCCTATTGGTGCTTCTCTTATTATATTAAAATGTCGATCATCTGCTGCCAATTCTTCCTTATTAAACCTGCGTACTCGTAAGTTATATTGTTCTCAGGTGTCTATGTTTATTGGTTACGGCGTAATCTGTGATAGTGCCTTCAGTATTTCCATACGGTACTCATGGCATGATAAATGTTAAGGTTATTCACAAGAAGTGACCGCGACAATGAAAAGGTCAAATTGTCTCGCTTAACTAATTGAGCTTTATACCATGAAGATGTATGTGGGGGACTGGATGTATAGAACCACATTTTCTTGACCTCGGCACTAGTTGGAGATGAGTGGTCAGGTTGACTGCTTTACCTCCGAGGAAAGAGTCCCCGGTACCCATTAGATAGGAGCTTGGGTGGATCCCAGAGCCAGTCTGGACGACGTGGAGAAGAGAAAGTTCTTGACCCTACCGGGACTCCAACTCAAACTCCTCGGTCGTCCAGCCTGTCGCTATACCGACTATGCTATCCCGGCTCCCAACCTTGATAATATTTGAAATTATAATTGTCATAACATTTTAAATTATTACTTACATTTAATTGCTAGGTGAATTCTTGTTACAGATAATGGAACAAATCATGATGACATAAGAAGGATGATTCTTGTCAAAATAGTTTATAATTATCAATTTCTCTTTCTTTTTTTCAGACCAATAACATTAACATCAGCGGAGGGTAAGTTTATGAATTCATTATCAGAGTCTACAGTAATGCTGTTTTGAGATTATTTCTTTTCCTCGTTACCCGGAAGAACACGTTTAATTTGCAAAGTAAACTCGTTGCATAGTCCGTGTTAGAATTAAATGCGGAACATAACCACTTACCTACTGGGCGACTTCGCCCTCTTGATGGGCGAGGAAGCCAGCCAATTTTGGAAAAGCTCCGACGTGACGGAATTGCGCTTGCTCCTGGGGATGATACCTCCGCTGTTGCCGGTACCGTGTCCATCATCGTGCTGAAGACTCGCTGTTGAGGAACTCCGCGATCCTTCGTGAGTTGCGCAGGTGACACTGCGGCTGCATCGACACAGCAGCAGGCGTTGCAAGAAGTCAGGCTCCGCCTTCTCCAACAGCCACTTCTGTATAACTTGAGGGTGAGACTCAAGGTATTGCTCGACATCGCTACTGGAGGCTCTTCTACTGACATCGACGACTTCCTCGGAGACAGAAGTCCTACCACCTTCACCCTCCATCACCTACTCCCACTAACTGTGCATGGCAGAGTTGCACCAAGGTATTCTAACGCACGTCATTGTGAGAGTATTCAATGTTCACACTGGAGAATGTTCGACCTCAATATTAAGCAACGTAACACAACCACCAAAATCTCTTGAAGATTTAAAACTCCGTTCATTTGGGATAATTCTGTTTTGCGAAAACGTAATCATGTGCAACATCTCAATAAAAATTTATTCTGCTGCCTAACTGCGTAATATTCCGGCATGTGAGTGAAATATTATGTGAAAGAGCTTACAGATTGTTCACACGCATCAGCACCCATAGAGGTAGATATTATTGTTTTCTTTTCCCAGCATTCTGTTTGATTACATTAGTTGGTAGACCTGTTCTCCCATTTATCATAACGTGCTGTAAAATCTCTTACCCCACACCTGTTGAAAACTAATTAACTGGAAACTTCATAATCACATAATCGTGGTCTATATTTTGAATGAAGGGGTTTTGTACTTAACTGAAGTACTTATACATTCATGCTGGTACGAAACAAATGTTTCTACAGTTCGAGAAACGTGGATACTGGAGTCGGAGGTACTTAGCGTGTCATTAACTTAGTGCCTCTTGACGTTCTGATGTCACAAATTTATATCTTGTTTAATCTCTGTCTGTCTGCTGTCAGTCTCTTCCAGACAGTCCAGCCTGACGCTGCGGTAAACTGCCATCAGTTATTTGCTTCAGCAATTAACTAACTACTCGTTCATTTGTCCGTTCTTCCATAACTTTTGTAATCTGTCTATGTACATACTCAGAAAAAAAAACGGAAATCCTTGCTTTATTCAAACAGGCTACGACCTGAACAGACACAGCCTCCTGCCACCGTCCGGTTTAGCAGGACACGCATTTTAATTAAGGCCAATCCATGTTCAGGAATTTATCTTCGAATAATGTTCCTCACATGCTGGGAAAAAAATAATGAAATATTACAGTCTCATAAAATTGAAAACTTCAGGGATTGATATTTATGAATTTAACAAGAACAATTCATTTCATAATTATGTGAAATGTGACCTATATAAAAGTTTTATCATATGAGTCAGTGTTACTTAAAACAAAGAGGTACACAATTCCTGGATTACATTTATTACTTATTAAAAATCTGATTCCGTAGAAAGTTTCATAGCCTCTTGTCGAATACAGTCAAAGATGACGCACTCATTGAACAGAATGTTCATTACATACATAGGCCGATATCCATTACGGATTCTATGATTATTCTTGTCATTAAATAAAGTGTAAATGCGAGTGTAGATTAGTAGACGTTATGTTAAATGAATCTGACATCGTCTCTTACTTCAACTTTGTTTCCATAGCCACTTAAATGACTCACTCTGAACTCAGATATGCGGGATGCTATTTATTGAATATTACGTTTGGAACTGAGAATAAAATAGCCAATGACTGAAGCCTTTTCGAAAGAATTGTCAGTCTTTTTAGAGGATTATCCATTGTTCACGAAAGACGTCACTTGTATCTGCTGTAGGCTGGTCGATGGAAGGTGGCACCCGGCGATGTGTATATAAGAGCGATAATTTCATTTCCTTCGAAGAAATGATTTGTGACGATCTTATTTGACTAAATCACAGCTTCTTCCTCGATGATACAGACACCACTGCGACTAGCCTATCCCCGGTGTTCGTTTTATATCTGCAAAGAGAAAGTAAGACAGAAATACATGATATTCTCTGATTCTTGTAAACATTAAACACAAATCAATTTTCTATCTATTTCTGTTGCTCCCACTTAGAGCACAGGACGTTCGTGAAACGTTTTGTTTCTTAGACAGTCGGTAGGAGTCCTTGGGCGACGGATCAGCCCGTCGCAAGGCCGCTACCTAAGGTAGGCCGCACACCGACATGAGTCAAGACATGTAACAGTCAAGACACGATGTCTGCGACATGACGCAAAGAAAGGAGGACAGTTGAAACGAATGAGATTATGAAAACAGCCGCACACCTGTCTGAGTCATGATGCTGACGTCAGCTTCATGCTGCAGACACGTCCGGCAAGACTCGGCACATTCCTTTCTGTTCGTCAAGACTCACACATCAGTACTCAAGGAACAGCCCCAGTGTACGTTATCGGCATGACGTCATGTCATCAACTAGAGAAGATGTGATAAGACGCAGACGCGTGCTACATCGGTGTGCGGACTTGAGTCTGAATCACGAATGAAGCACGACTGCGTCTTTTGCCTCATGTCTTGATGCTTGTCTTGACGCAGTTGGTGTGCGGCTTCCCTAACACAAACACAGAATAAACGCAAACAGACATCAATGCCTTGAATGGAATTCGAACCCACGATCCAAGCGTTCGAGTGAGCAAAGACAGTTCATGCCTTAGATCGCGTGGCCACTGTGATCGGCACATCTCAATTGAGTGTATATTAACAGTCATTGGGATTTCTAGCGTAAAAAATGATATCTATTTACATTTATATAAATAGCGGGGTCTACACGGCACCACATCCCAGAACGCAGCACTCTTCAGTCTTTTTTTTTTTTGTATTTATTCCTCCAATTTAATCGGGTTCATAATATCCCCCTTGCATTATTCTTGTTTGCTGATTCTGCAGCTTAGGTACACACTAATGTTTTCATGTCGTTCTCGTAAGTTCATTCGGAAAAAGCAAAGTACTTTCCCTGCTTCTGTCTCGTAGTCACTGAAAGCTTTATTTCCGCGCAAATCGCATTTTCTCTGTAACACTATCCTTTCTAACATAAGGGCTTCCTTTGGTACACAGTCTACTGTTACATAGTAAGGCTTCCTTCCTAATATCTTCCGAGGCACGTCCAAAATATCTATAAAGACCACTGCAAAAAATACCTTAATTCTTCCTATTGCTTATGTTTTTTTCTGGCTCTACAGCCTCCTTGGGCCCTGGTCTCTGATTTTCAGTTTCATGATCATTTTACAGACGATGGGCCTCCTTTGACGGGAGCTCAGCTCGTCGCAAGGCCTCTACCTAAACACAGAATAAGCACATACACATAGCAAACATCCATGCCTTTTGTGGGATTCGAACCCACGATCGCGTCTTCCGAGCGAGCGAAGACAGTACATACCCTACACCGCTCGGCTACCGTGACCGGAGTTGTTTCTATATTACTATAACTAATTAACGAAATAAAAATGCTAACCATTCAAATTATTAACACACCTGCCAAATCGCAAATTAACTCTAAATAGTAAACTAATTATTAAGTAGCTGATAGTCCCTCAGCTGGTCATGGAATTACTCGCTTTCTGTTGTACCTGCAGGCTCAGTACCATGTTCTTGCCCATCAATGGACCAAATCCAACTCACAGCCTTACGTTCACTTCCTCAGATCCGTGGACTCCTCCAGTCAATGGACCAAATCCAACCCACATCCTTACGTTCACTTCCTCAGATCCGTGGACCCCCCCCCCAAGTCAATGGACCAAATCCAACACACATCCTTACGTTCACTTCCTCAGATCCGTGGAATCCTCCAGTCAATGGACCAAATCCAACCCACATCCTTACGTTCACTTCCTCAGATCCGTGGACTCCCCCCCCAAGTCAATGGACCAAATCCAACACACATCCTTACGTTCACTTCCTCAGATCCGTGGAATCCTCCAGTCAATGGACCAAATCCAACCCACATCCTTACGTTCACTTCCTCAGATCCGTGGACTCCCCCCCCAAGTCAATGGACCAAATCCAACACACATCCTTACGTTCACTTCCTCAGATCCGTGGAATCCTCCAGTCAATGGACCAAATCCAACCCACATCCTTACGTTCACTTCCTCAGATCCGTGGACTCCCCCCCCAAGTCAATGGACCAAATCCAACACACATCCTTACGTTCACTTCCTCAGATCCGTGGAATCCTCCAGTCAATGGACCAAATCCAACCCACATCCTTACGTTCACTTCCTCAGATCCGTGGACTCCTCCAGTAAATGAACCAAATCCAACCCACATCCTTACGTTCACTTCCTCAGATCCGTGGACTCCCCCAGTCAATGAACCAAATCCAACCCACATCCTTACGTTCATTTCCTCAGATCCGTGGACTCCTCCAGTCAATGAACCAAATCCAACCCACATCCTTACGTTCACTTCCTCAAATCCGTGGACTCCCCCAATCTACGCATAGTTAGCCCGATTGGCATCTTCCCTTGAAATTTGAACTTATCTCCGCCATTAGTGACGTATGACTCCAAAAGTCTCGTATTTCTTCGTTCTGTATACAGACCTATATAATGTCCCGGCTACATAAAACCTTGCAGGAAAGAGTTTCAAACTTGAAAAGCTTCTGAGATGGCAACGCTGGAGAAAACATGAAGATTGAAGTATATTAACAGGGCCCGTTCTTCGCGCAGAGATGAAATCTCAGAACCAGAAACGTTAGGTAACTGTGAAACGTCATTGAGAATTTCAAGGAAAGATGAATGATAACTTGTCGAAAATATGACAACACTTGAATTGGTGTTGGGTTCTTTTTTTAACCTACTTCTGTCCAATCAACTTTGTAACCGCACATAGTGACACATCACAGGTTTCATTTTTTTTATAATCTGAACATTCTGGCTTGTCGGTTTATCTTGCAGACGTCAATACGTTGTAGGCAGTAAAACTTGTTACCAACTGCAGATACAGCAAACAATCTGTTAATGCCTCTTCATTTTGTAAGGAGAAAGATTTTTTAAATGTATTTATTTATTAAGCAATCAGAATGTACAATTCTATAAGCTAGTTTGCTGGCGTAAGAGGTGTTGTGCTCTCTAATGATGTGATGAGTCCCTTCCCAGTGGGAGGTTCCTCTTAGTTTTCTTTTAGGTCAGCTGGCCAGTATCTTCGGAGTGTTCGATTGTGCTGCGGTTCAACGAGTGGCTGTAATATGTCGTTTGGGTCATTTGCTAGTTTGTTGTGATGTGTGGTACTTTTTTCTCTGATGACGTCTTTGATGTATGATGTATTTAGATCTGTATGTAACGCTTGGTTGTTTACATACTAGGGTGCATTTGTTATAATTCGAAGTATTTTTGACTGGCTTCTCAGGATTATTGATATATTTGATTTACTAGCTCAACCCCAGAGCTAGATTCCGTAAGCCCAGACTGGTTTGATTATTGTCTTATAAAGCAGGACTTTGTTTTCTATGGATAGGTTGGATCTTCTTCCAATTAACAAGTTTAGCTCCTTGGTTTTTAAGTCTATCTCTTTGCGTTTTTTGATTACGTGGTCTTTCCAAGTGATTCTACAATCCATATAGATTCCGAGATATTTAACGCTTGGAGACTGTGGGATATTATTATTGTTCAGTCTTGCTTGTGGACAATGCTCTCGCCTTAGCGTGAAGTTCACTTGGATAGTTTTAGTCTCGTTTATTTTAATTTTCCATTTGTGTAGCCATACTTGTGTTTGGTTTATGTGCTTTTGTAGGATACTGGTGGCCTTTGCTGGATCTGCATGGGTTGCTAGGATGACTGTATCATCTGCGAAGGTTCCTGGACAACGCAGAGAACATCACTTCCCAGTTACTCCATTGTTGCGTGTTACTAATCAGGTGCCTAGCAACGTGCGTGTTTGCAGAGCCGTTCTTTAGGAACGGCTGTCTCGGTTTTACGGTTCTTGCCTTGCGCAAATATGTCACAATACGAACGGCCTTTCGTGCTCTTATTGTAGCGTTCTGGAGAAGGAATATTAGGGCATGATGTTTAAAACACGTTAACGTAATAGAGCGCTGAGATGGTATGGCCATGTTGAGGCGCGTCCACATTATTCGTGATCGTTCTCGTGCTCGTGTGACTCGCTATGCTCGCAAGTAATGTGGACGATATGACAAGTCACGAGACAAGCCAATTTTAAATTTTTAATTTAAAAACTATAGCCAATAAATTAAAATACGACTACCGCCTATACACACTGCGAGTAAATATACGGATCCTCACGCACCGAAGTCTGGCGAGCTACTGAAGTAGTGTGGACGAAGATTTACGAGCACGAATTAACGAGTCTCCCGACGAGCACAAGCCTGGCGAGCGCGAGCACGAGCTCGAGGACGAGTAATGTGGACGCGACTTTGAAGGAATGAAGGAGGAAAGATTGCTGAAAGAATCTATACCACTCGTCTCTACAAGGAATAATAAGACGGAAAAGAGGGAGGCCTACATACAAGTGGAAGATACACGCACTAAAACTGTTATGCAGGAATGTGTTTGGGAGGACGGAAACTGGGACAATTTACTGTGGAAAATGAAGAAGGAGAATGCACGAAAATTAGAAAAAGAAAATGCGCTCTCCATTCATGCATTTATTTTATATGCACTCTGATTAAATTTACTGTGACATTACGTCTGAAGGTCGAAATCGTGGAGCTAGAGGAGATGTCCACTGCCAGGCAGTGCGACGAAAGATGAGCCGTTCCAAGATTCAAACCATACCCCTCTCGGACTGCAAGCCCGAACACTGCTACTTTGTACTGCGGTACAGTCTAATCGCCTGGCTACTGGGTTCGGCCATGCAGATGTCTCAATAAGTTGTACAAGAAGCTAATCTGCTCCGTTTCACTCCATTTGCATTTATTAATGGTCAATCAAGTGTGGCAACAACAGCGAACCGCTTCCCTCGTGTAATATCTCTTTACAGGAATTGTCTAAAGGAACTTCTACTTGTTGCACTTTATAGAGTCACGGAGCAGGCAGGCACAATGGCGACACACGTGATTCACATTCCGAATTTACCTGAGATTGGAGGTAAAAGTAAAGTCATCCCTGTGCTTAAGTAATTAAGAACTACACCATGAAGGCGTGTGAGGGAGTGGAGGCATTGGTCCACGTTCTCCTTGATCTCGGAAATATTTGGATGCGATTGGTCAACTTCACGCCCCTGCCACTTTACCCCCGGAAAAGGAGCACCTCCATACCCGTTGGGTGGGCCCCAGAACCGGTATGGACGACATGGAGTAGAGAAAATTCTTACTCCTAGCGGGACTCGAACTCCTCGGTCGTCCAGCCCGTAGCCAGTCGCTATACCGAATGCACTACCCCAGCTCCCATTTATCTGGGATTAAAGTGTTTTACTTCGTCCATCTTCCGGTATTCTAAAGAATACAATTTTCAGAGACTGAATCTATTTCCGTCATGAGGTGAGGGAGTGAGACACATCTCTTTGGGTAGGTTAGAAAGAGCTAATCTGAATCACAGGACTGGTTCAAGTATTTTAAGGTGATTATTTAACGATGCTATCGGTACCGAGATTATGTAGCATCATGATAGAACGATTAATGAATGTGAAACACTTAGTGGAATGAGAATTGGTAGGGAAAACAGAACCTAAGGCAGTGACAGTGACGTGACCTGGAATCGAATTTGTACCACCGCAATGGGAAGCCGGCGATTAGCTGTCCTGAACTTTTCGCGGTTTTATTTTTAATCTCTCGACACAAGTATCTACATATTGATGAACGCCGGCCACTGTACCACACTACAATTCTCATTCGTCATTCGCAGTGACAGTGGCATTGCAAGATGAAGGTGAGTGAACGCGAGATGGCGTTGCTGATACGTGTGCTGACTGCGCTTCGGACTAAAGTACCGGGGAAGCACCGTTAGAATCTGTGGATGTAGGGGCTTGTCTCTCTACAACCGGGCCCATCCAGTCTCTTATTCGGTGGGTCCCGCGAGCTGATCCCTCACCTAAGTATAGTGTCGAGGCTAAAAAATGCGTGAAGCTATACCATCATCCCCATGCGTCTTCATGTCATTGTAAGCACAGGGAGAAGTTTGAGAATGATGAATTGAAGTGTCTGTGGATGAAATCGGCCGTAGCCTCTTATAACAAAGCATCAAACATAGTTGAGCACAGCAATACATGCAATGTTTAATTCTTATGTTATTAAACGATGTTCTGTCAACTACAGAAGTTATATGCAGATGAATGCGGTTGGAGGAGGATCAGTAATGCAAGGAGACGTTCGTGACGATGGTCTCTCGAAACTGAGAGGGACCACGGACGTTCACTTGGGAGATCCAGTCTCCTAGCCAAGGTTCGAATTTAAGACCATTTAATCATGATCCTCGGTAGCCTATCTGTGTAGGTGTAGCCTACATCTACGTCATAAAAATAAGAACATCATAAAGTGAAAACAGCGTCATGAAAGCGTATTGGAAGAGTTAGAGAAGAACTCCACGCATTCATTCTCAGCACTAGATGAAAGCAAGAGGTCAGGTTCACGCTCTGATCACGTATTTCTGGTGCCTATTGGATATTTGGGGTGACTGACCACAGAGCCAGTCTGGAAGTGGCAGTAAAGAGACAAATCATGGTCCTATCAGGAATCGAACTTGGTTATTCTAAGACCATAGCGATAACTTTACTGAGTCACATTGGAGTGCGACTGGACGTAGAAAACTTTAACTATTATGACCCTGTTAATGTGTGATATGTTTACGAGGGTTCTTTTACGTTGTTCTAGATTCTAGGATTTATATAACTTGACTCTAACCTAGGTCTGCTCAGTTGTAAACACATAGAATCCCCCAAGTACGAGTATACAATATTAATTACTGTGAAATATTTAAAAGCTCTGTAACGACGGAGACAAGATCTCAAACGGAAAGGAAGATAACAAAGAAGACGAGAGAAAAGATTAAGGTTGAATGAATTCGGCTTGGCGCCCTCGTACAGACACTATGCAATATTAATGGCCTGCCCTTATGGATGTAGGGGATATGAAAGGGCTAGAAGAAGGAAATGAAAGAAAAGTGAAAAACGATTTACAACGCATTTTTGCTAAGAAACGGGTTCCATAAAATGCTGGGAAATTCTTGAGTAGCTGCAGAAGTGGCGGCTCCTCCAGAAGGGCTCAGTTCAATGAGTAAGTAAAGCGTCAGAACGTGTTAATTCAGATATTAGGAACCAGGATAGCCAAGTCGGTATAGCGCCTATGCTACAAGCCGGAAGGTGGCGGGTTCGATTCCTGATGAGGTCATGGGATTTTTCAGTTCATCTAATCTTCCAGCTGCACTATGGCCCTGGGGTCGACTCGGCCTCTAAGAGAAATGAGAACCAGGAATCTTCCTGGGGGTAAATGACGGCCGGCGGGTAAGGCTGACATCCTCACGGCCATCTGTGAGTCGATTGTCTAGAAAATGTGGGAGCCTCGACGTCTCACAACCCTATGGGCCTCCACGGCCTGTTACAGGGACAGCTTTACCTTTTTTATCTTTACGTTAAGATATACTCATATGCGAGATCCAAGATAATAATTTTGTTTAGAGACTTTTAGATTAGAAACCAGAACATAATAGAGAAGGAAATAATCTTTCTGAAGGCAACAGTTCCCAGTTTTAGGCACGTTCTGCTATTACTGTCATAACTGATGCTAGAAACTACGGTATATTTGTACGAGTGTATGGTATGCTTAAGTGAAATGGAATCCAAGTTAAGCATATGCAGACAACTAATGACTTCGTAGGACTGGAGGTTCTCACAGAAGTGGTTATGAAGAGTACTATCATCTAGGACATAACGCCGTGTAATCCGTTTTAAGTCAAGCGACGTTTCGGAGAAATATATCACCTCCATCTTCAGGGACGAATGTAGCTAAAATCTATAAACTATTCCTGTAATAGGCCATGAAGGCTCATCGGGTTGTGAGACGTCGAGGATCGCACATTTTCTCTAAACAGTCGGCTCTCAGATGGCGGTAAGTTTGTCAGCCTTACATGACAGCCGCCTTTGACGCCTCAGGAAGATTCCTTTCCTGGTACTTATTTCTGTTAGAGGCTGAGTCGACCCCAGGGCCATAGTGCGGTTGAAATAATTAGGTAAATTGAAAAAAAAATCCACTTCACCTGGATTCGAACCCGCGACCTTCTAGCTTCAAGGACAAATAAGTCGAGAAATATATCAGAGTGAAAGCATGTAGCAAACCATCTGCTTTCACTCTGGTATATTTCTCGACTTATTCGTCTCTGAAGATGGATGGGACATGTTCCTCCGAATCGTCTATTGAGTTTCAACGGATTACACGTCGTTATATCCGAGAAGATGGTACTCTTCAACTGTTGACTTCAGTTACATTTCATTCACAAGACTGCAATAAACCAGTTAGTGCTTTCATCAGCATGCAGGTCTGTTGTGTAATTTATGTTAACTAGCAACAGAGAAGGCTTCGTCTCTTACATCGAGCCCTTGTTGATAATATGATTGATGATCACCAATACGGCAGCATAATAAAGAGCTGCGATCCCCGCTGTGGCCCAAGGAGGTAGCTGAAGTTGCCCAATAATATATCAGGGCGCGCCTGACTTGAGATGGCAGTCAAGTAGTAAGAAGTCCTCGGTGAGGCAAGGTTCTGGTCACTTGCTCCTCATTACCTCAGAACTCAGGCTCTTCGGCGCAGCCGTGGACACTCATGCTGCTGGTAAGGTAAAAAGTAAAGTTATCCCCGTGCCATGTAGACTTGTGGGGAATGAAGGTACAGCTCCACTATTCTTGATCTAGGCTCTAAATGGTGTTAAATGGTTAGTTACACGCCCCAGTCGCTTTATCCCCGGGGGAGGAGCCGCCAGCACCCATTGGATATGAGGCTGGTTTTGGCCTCAGAACCGTTATGGACGCTATTTAGAAGAGAAAAATTTATTGCCGCTGACGGGCAGCGAACCCCGGCATTCCAGCCAGTAGATCGTCATTATACGAACTGAACTATCCCGGCTCCCAATGTTGAAAACAAATGTTGGGTTAATACTGCGAAAAGGAACGGAAGTGAAGGAAGTTAAAATTGTCCCTACGTTTAATTAACAATCACATGAAAATACGAAGACATATGGAGGAGTGAAGTGATAGCTCCTTGGCACTATATGGAAGTGAACGGTCAGCTTCACGCCCTGGCAGCTTTATACTCGGGGGATTCTATCCACTGGTTTGATCCCAAGACCTGTATGGAAGCTGTGGTGAATAGAAAAATATTTGCCCCCTTTGGAAATCAAAAACCGATTCTCTGGTGGTCAGTGCTGTAACGAAGATAAACTGACGTTACCATAGCAGCAACCACGCAGTCAACGAAGCTGATAACCAACCAACAAAATAGCCAAGCCACCAAATAACGAATAATTAATCAGCATCCAACTGTAAACCTAGAATGGAATTCAGACTGTGATCTTCTGGGTTGTGACACCGCGAAGTCCTGTAGGCGTATACTAACCTTTCGGAGGGATATGCTACCGACACCTTCGGTGTTAAAATATGTGGATGGAGGAATTGGCTCGGTTATACAGTATACAATGGTTGCAGTGAAAATGGTCAGTGAGACCCAGGAGTGAAAGTAAAGGTAAAGCTATCCCTGTAGCAGGCCGTGAAGGCCCATAGGGTTGTGAGACGTCGAGTCTCCCACATTATCTAGAGAATCGGCTCAAAGATGGCGGTAAGGGAGATCCAGGAGTAAAAGTAAAGGTAAAGCTATCCGTGTAAGTGGCCGTGGAGGCCCATAGGGTTGTGAGACGTTGAGGCTCCCACATTTTCTAGACAATCGGCTCACAGATGGCGGTAAGGGAGACTCATCCGTGTAACAGGCCGTGAAGGCCCATAGGGTTATGAGACGTTGAGGCTCCCACATTATCTAGACAATCGGCTCACAGATGGCGGTAAGAGAGACCCATCCGTGTAACAGGCCGTGAAGGCCCATAGGGTTGTGAGACGTTGAGGCTCCCATATTATCTAGACAATCGGCTCACAGATGGCGGTGAGGGAGACACAGGAGTATTGAGCCAAATAGAAGCAGCCTTCCTGCTTCTGGTTGTTACAGTGCCGCTTATAATTAGTTTCGCAAATCAGTACTCAGGGTTTATAATCAGAAGGATAGAAGCCCGAAGACAATGTCCCTAACCTAACAGCTAACTAATATCTAAAAGTCTATGGCGATGGTATATTAATACATTTATTGTGTTTCTGGACATTATCCATCGCCCTGTTTTTATTTAAAACGCACACAACTTTTCGGAGAATGCATTCTGTCTCCGTCTGTCTGAAGACGGAGACAGAATCCAGTCTCCGAAAAGTTGTGTGCGTTTCAAATAAAAACAGGGCGATGGCTAACGTCCAGAAACACAGCAATTGCACAAACAGCGAAAGCTGGCATGTGTTGAAGTGAAGCCTGTGGCAAATAATACCAGAAAATTCACACTGGAAGAAGTGGAGACGCTACTGAGTCACGTGAGTGGCAGTGCGATAGAAAATATCCCTCACACACCTAAATACGTGACAATATCACTGGAATTCATTCGGAAGAGTTTGCATTATTTTACATGGTCACCGTCTACTTCTCTAAAATAGGATTTGAGGTTCTCATGTCGGTATTTATGAAGAGTTCTCTCTTTTGGTATACAGCGCCTTGTGGCCCGTTGAAATCTAACCATCATGACGTAGGTAGCAATTATAGGCCTCTCCTTGCTACCTGCTTAATCCTTGTTCCTCTATTGGTTTATCTTTAACTCTGAAGACAGAAGCGATATGTTTCTCCGAGATATCAATTGGTTGTCAACTGTCTGTACTTTGCTATATACCAGAACATAGAAGTCTATTGCTCTAATCTCAATTTTAATATTACCTTTCTATCTGTGTCTAAGTATAGCGAAATTCGATTCGGAGGCGATTAACAACAAGCATACGTGAAGACATATCTTCGCTTCTTCTGTACGATCTCGTGGTATGTTGGGATAGTATTATCTCTCTGTGTTTCAATTTTATTTCCCGGTTGTTAAAGTATAATCTGTCAAGATATTTCTCTGTGGATTTGTATGAAGATAATATATTGATCGTAATTTCCAGAAGGCCATACTCCGACCTATGAACAAGATTCTTCTATAATTTGCTTTCGCCAGAGTGCAAGAAATATTCAGCACCCTAAACCACGTTATTGTATACTCGAGTTCTGATGATAGCGAAATGAGGCCGGCCCATTTACTTGCCTGCTGTTTTAGTGTCACTGGCGCAGAAATCTGATCACTGCGTGACCAATCACCGGCGCTGGTTCCTCTCGCCCCACCACCTATAACAAAAAGCCCTTGGTTAGTGTCTTTATTTCGCACATTATCTAAATGTTAGAAGCCAAATGGAGGCAGTGCCATATCTTAGGCGGTTAGTTGTCTGCTTCCCACTGAGGCTGCCCGGGTTCGATCCCAGATCAAGTCATATGGGTTTTGTGGTGACACTGGAACAAGTTTTCTCCAAGTAATTCCGCTTCCTGGCCCGGCTCTCATTCCAGCATCTGCTCCACACACACATGTAGGCCCAGTAGTGGGAGACGTACCAAGCGGACCCAGGCTCACCCCAACCCATGAATAAAAAATGAATAAAATCCAGCAGCGGGCACATTCGTAGTGTCTCAGACGGAGGTAAAAGAAGGTGACGCTATCCCTGTAACAGGCCGTGGAAGCCCATAAGGTTGTGAGACGTGAAGGCTGCCACAGCTCGCAGATGGCAGTGAATTTGTCAATCTTACTCGCTGGCCGCCCTTAATCCCCAGGAAGATTCCTGGTACTCTAGACAAATGTTCAGTTTTATCAGAGGCATATATATTATAATTTATTTTCAAGAGGACCCCAAGTCCAATGAGAATCTTATGGTCGTAAAACCTAGGACCTTGCAATAACTTGGATATGTAAATTGGATGGAAGAAAGAAGAATTAGGCGCCGAAACCTTTCAGATGTCAGCCCCTTTGACAAGGACGACAGGGAAATGGAACGAAAATATGAAAGCGTTCTCAGGGAAGAGGCTTGAGAGGATGAGTGGACCCAAGAGTGGATCTGGACTCTGTTTCCCTAGCCGGGAAACGAATGCCGGCAGTCCAGTCAATATCCCGTCGCTATACTGAGTCAATCAATGAAAAGACAGAGAGCTATTATTATCCCAACATACCACGAGGACGTATGATGAGGCGAAGGTACGAGTTCACGTACTCTTGTTGTTGGTAGACCGAATCGAAATTCACCACAGTTCTTAGGCACGGAGCGTAGAATAATATTAAAACGGACATTTAGTGTAGTAGAATTTTATTGTCTGGTATAAAATTTCATCTAGAGCAGTGAAAGCTAATCGATGTCTCGGAGGAATATATCGCCTCTGTCTTCATGGTTGAAGAGTAAGCCAATCAAGAAAGAAGCGCGAAACAGGCAGTAAGCATAGCTTACTCTGTGCAGAGCAGTAGCCCATTGCTGATGGGGTGGTAAAAGTAAAGTTGTCCTTGTGCTTAACTGATTAAGCACTACGCCATGAATGCGTATGGGAGACTGGACGTGTAGATCCACATTTTCTTGACCTCTGCACTAGCTGGAGGTGAGTGGTCATCTTCGAGCCCCGACCGCTTTACCCCCAGGGAAAGGAAGCCTGGTAATCATTGGATAGGAGGTCGAATGGACTCCACAGCCGGTGTGGACGACGTGGAGAAGAGAAAATTCTTGACCCTACCAGGACTCGAACTCAGGTCCCTCGGTCGTCCACCCCGTAGTCAATTGATGCACCGAATGCTCTATGGACTGGATAAATGTGGCCTAGGATAGGGACCAGTTATGGGCTCTTGGAAACCTGTTTCCGTAAAATGCTGGGAAATTCTTGAGTAGCTGAGCGGATGGTGGCTTATGAAGAAATCATCTCCATGGACTTAGTTAATTAATTAATTTATTCACTCAGCTTGTGATAATGTACGGGGGATGCCTGTCACCCTGGTGCCTGATAGCTCTGTTCGGTTGCCGCCGTCCGAAGCCCCAAGGCATTCAGTCAACAATCGAACGAGTAGCCGATTGCCTGGCTGAGGTTCGTCCCAGCGCCGAAGTCTGTCCTGGGGCACACGCTTGCTATTGATCCGAACAGGCAATCTGTCTGTCCGTCCTCCCACAAGCTGGCTGGGGCCCCAGAGGCAGGGGAGGTGCACGTGCGACCATGTGGGCACTAATCGCCCTCCCGAAACCAAGGCCTTGACAGCATTTCAAAACTTTTTTATTTCCCTGTTGACCTATTTCAATTCATGCTTATTTGACTTGGAGTGATCGAGGGTGTCACGTGGTCAGCGCAACGAATCCCCAGGCTGTTAATTTCGGCTTTCTAGAGCGGAGCCGCTATTTCCTTGAAGTAGCTCATCAATTATCCTCACGAGGCTGAGTGGACCCCGTTCCAGAACCACTACTTCTCAGAAAATATGGTAGCGCCGGGAATCGAGCCCGGGA